GCCTCGGCCTCCCAGAGTGCTAGGATTACAGGTGTGAGCCATTGCGGCCGGCCAGGAACATTTCTTGATACCATACCACAGAGGATATAATCATGACAGAGTGGAAAAAGGATAGATCATCTGATTTCTCTAAATGGCCCACAAAGGAGGAAGAAAAGTTTAAATTTGTAACAAACGTGATTTCAATAAATCTCTATGATGAGAAAATTAGTGACAAAAGATATGAGAAAGAAGTAAAAATAGTTTATACTCAACAGGAACCATAGTTGGAGTGAGAACATAAATGTAACCCACTAAATTACATACTGAACTCCCTTGTTAGCCAAAAAAATAAAACTTCAAAAAGTCAAACATAAAAATAGGCAAATAATCTTACTGATAATTCTGCCACATACCACTGACTTAACAATGTAACTCCTAAGATGCTTATGTGAGAGACAGATTTTGAAGAATTTGATCTTGTGAGTTTAAAAAATTGAGAAAGACTGGAATTGCTCATGTGGAGCAGAATTAAGTTTAGTAACAATTTTAACATTTTTGATTCAATAAAAATATTTCTCCAATTTAGGAGGGAGCCAGTAAAAAATTTTCCACATACAGAAGACAGCAGGTAACACATTCTAAGAAATAATTTTTTTTTAGGTTATTTAGACAGGGCACGCTACTACATTTTTTAAAAATCACTATACCTGGATTTAAGGCAGAACTCATTCATTGCTCTGACTCCAGTGATGAAATTATTCTGCGTGTACTTTGATCCATATTCCCTTTTCTTAAGGACGGCTTTAACTAAACCAAAAACATAGGAAAACATAATAAATATGCACACTGAAAGTCACATTTGAAGATGAATATCGGCTGATACTTAAGTGGGTTCACTAACGAATTCCACAGAAAACTGATCTTTTTCCTGATGTGTTGAATGACATCAAAAAAATAAAAAAGTTCTCCAAGTGCGGGATGGGATGGAATTGCTCCTGCAGCCATCTAGCTTTCGTCTCCATAGCTGACCTATAACTGATGCCAAAATGCCAACCCCTTGTCTAACGGACATCTTGTATAGGTATTACTGGTTTGTCTAAACCATATTAATACAATTTAAATTGCTTAGGGTCTAAGTCAAAATAAACTGATGTTTCAATAAAAAATTATAGGCTTGAGTTCAGTGTTTTTCAAACTGTGAAGTGAAACCAGGATTTTATAAAAAGTGATAATACACAGTAATCAAAGAGTTTTGCATATAATTACTAATAAGTTCTTTTTGCAAAAACTTTTGTTTCAGTAATGTATAATAAGCTATAGTAATGTATAATAAGCTATACTAGGTCACTAAGAATTAACAGTATTTCTTATATGGGTTGCAGTCAAAAATGTTTAAAGCCACCAACCTATTTCATGCAGTGTAACAAAATGGAAGTAAACTGAGGAACAATTTTATCAGCTAAAAATTATTAGAAGTTTATTACAGATTGTAGTTAAAATA